TCTGTTTTTCTAAAAAATTTATTTATTTATTTTCATTTTTTAAAAAGACTATTGTTAGTCTGTTTGAATATCTAGCTCACAATTTCAGACATATTTTGGACAATAGTATGTAGTTAAAAAAACCTTTGTTATATTAAAAAAGATTTGCCTCAAGTCTGCATGTCTTTTTTTAGCTGAATTATTATTTTGATACTTACTGTGGAGAATTTTGAATGTGTATAAAAATAGACAAAGGTAAAAATTTTAAAATACCAGTGAAACAAGAAACACTCCTGAAGAAGATGTCAGACACACAAGAATATCACCTAATTTATGATTCCTTTGTGACTATTCCTCACTTCTTTCATTTTAGGTGATGGACCATTTGGATACGGTGGTAGACAATAAGACTCTGGTGACCAATTTTGTCCTCATGGGACTGACAGATCGTCCAGGGCTGCAGGTGCCCCTGTTCCTGGTGTTCCTTGTCATCTACCTCACCACCATGGTGGGCAACCTTGGCCTGATCGCCCTTATCTGGAAAGACCCCCACCTACACACCCCCATGTATTTATTCCTCAGCAGTTTAGCCTTTGCGGACGCATCCACTTCATCTGCTGTGACTCCCATGATGCTTACCAACTTTTTATCTCAGGATCATAAAACATCCTTGGTTGGGTGTTTCACCCAGTTTTATGTTTTTGGTTCTAGTGCAACTACAGAATGCTTCCTCTTGGCAGTGATGGCCTATGACCGCTTTGTAGCCATATGCAATCCCTTGCTTTATCAGGTGGTGATGTCCAATGACCTCTGTTCTTGGCTTATAGGTGTTTCATATTTTGTTGGTTTTATGCATTCATCAATTCATGTGAGTCTGTTGGTTAGACTAACTTTCTGCAAGTCCAATATCATAGATTATTTCTACTGTGAAATTTTACAACTGTTCAAAATTTCTTGCACTGATCCAACCATTAACATATTTCTGGTTTTAATCTTTTCAGCCTTTATACAAGTCTTTACTTTTATGACAATTATCATCTCATACTTTTATGTCCTTTTTGTAATCCTGAAAAAAAGATCAGAGAAAGGCAAAAGCAAAGCTTTGTCCACCTGTAGCGCCCACCTGCTCTCTGTGTCTTTGTTTTATGGCACTCTCTTCCTCATGTACGTGCGCCCAGCGTCTGAAAGAACTGACAATCTGGACAAAATGTATTCCATTTTTTACACAATAATAATCCCCCTACTCAATCCTTTTATATACAGTTTGAAGAACAAAGAGGTTATAGATGCCTTGCAAAGAATAAGAAAAAATAAATTCTCTTAGAGTTTTTTCAAACTTTTTTATTTGCACATTGAAGGAAAAAACCTCTCATATAATCGTTATTCACAAGTCTATTATTTCAGTAGAAGGTCCAGGGGTGCTGGATGTGGGAACTCACTAGTATGCTGTTTCCTTGGGTGAGATTCCAGTGATAGTTTGTAAATAATCTATGACTAGCCTGTTTAGCTAGAGCAAATCAGCTATTTCTTAGGGGCTTCCAAATTTTCAATCAGCAACTGGCATTTTATTGAGAAGTAGGAAGACTGAAATTAGTTAAAAATAGGATTCATAAATAGCTATTTGAATGAATCCAGTTTACTCTTCTGGATGTGTACTTTAATTAGGTTTTTAACTATTTGTTGTGCATAGTAAGACTAATAGAAGGATAAAAATACAACTCTGTTTCCAGGGAGAATATATTATTGAGGAAAGATGTAGTGTTTATTGATAAAAGTTGGTAAAAAGCAAAGAATTCTAAAGTGTATTTGTGGAACCTAGGAACAAAATGGAACCTGAAATAAATTAAGTTGTGGGACATCAGAATTAATCATAGCTCATATGTATAACTAAATGTATTATTTTTACCAAGACTATTTTGTTTAGTATGTTATTCAAAACCTATACATTTTAGAATATTTTAAAATAATAGAAGTAATTACAGAGATCTGCCTTGTGATTGCATTACTATTCCTGTGGGTTTTATTAGGAACTGACTTGGCAGAAGGCAAGGAGATTATGTCAGATATGAATGGAATAGTCTGGATTAGTAAATAAGATAAGATTGAAAATCAGAATACATTTTTCCTTTCTTTATGTGTGTTCGTGTGCGTGTGTGTGTGTGTGTGCGCACACACACACACACACACATTTTTCCTTGTTTTCAAATGATCATGTTCCTGAATTAGAAATAATTATTCACTAAAAATTCATTGGAATAATTTTGCTCTTATTATATAGATAAAGATGACTCAACTCCTCTTTCATGAAAACAATCATATTCCTTGAGTATTTTGCTTTTCCCAGTATATTTAGCTCAGAAAAAATTATGCAATAAGAATAAAGAGGAAATTCATAAAATTATAAATAAAAATAAGTTGTTTAAAATGAAAGTATGTGTTATATGTGATATACATAAAACATTTTAGCTTTTGTCAAGTTACTAGTTTCTAGAAGTGTACACATTAGTTTGATTGTCATAGTGCACTTGAAATCCTTGGCGATGGTCTTAGGGTGAAATAGCCCACATGCAATAGCATGGGAAGAAGGAGTCTTTTAAGGCAGATGCTGGAAAGGCTGCTGTGATAGTGTTTGAGGTTAAGGATGTTTTTCAAAACTCAGTAAGGGGATACATCTTACGAATGGAATTTATTTATTTATTTAAAAATTTTAGGGGGCTTGCCCCTTAGCTCAGTTCTTTAAGTGGCTGCTTCAACAAAGCAGTCAGGCTCAGGTGGCTGTGGTTCAATCCCCACAACTCAAGCCAGCCAGACCTGCCCTGAAGGCATTTGGAGAGAAAAAAATCTTGTTCCACTGTGGGGCCAGGGAGATGGCTCAGTGGAATAAGCGCTTCCCTGGCAAGTGCAAGGGCCAGAGTTCAATCCCCAGTTCTGCCAAAGAAAAAAAATTAAAAATCTTTTATTTATTTATTTATTTTGTACAGGGTCTTGCTATGTAGCTCAGACTTGTAGCGCTCCTCCTGTCTCAGCCTACCCAGTGCTGGGATTACAGGTATGTGCCATCACACTTGGTTTCAATGACTGGCATGGTTCACCTGGGTTTCCAGGACCAGCATGGCATGTGGTACCAGAGATTGAACCCAGGGCCTTATGCAGGCCAGACAGTCACTTAGACCACAAAGTTTTATGTAAATATTTAGCTACATGGCAAGTATCTATCAGAAATCTATTAGAATGCGTTTTTGGAACCATTAGTTTGTTTATATAGTATTAATTCCAAGTCCCTAATTATGAAATATGAACAAAAATTTAAAAAGCTTACTTCACATGAATAAATTTATCATCTTTCCAGTCCTATCTATACCTCAGCAAATTTCCAGCTATGTGTCAGAAATGATGATCATAGATTAATCATGTTGCAAACAGAAATCTTTTTTTGTTTTGTTATACAGTGTCTCGCTACTCAGTTGAGACTTGTAGTGATCCTCTTGTCTCAGCTTTCCTAATGCTGGGATTACAGGTATGCATAGCTATGGCCAGTTTCAGGGCAACACAGCACTCCCAGTTTAAGGCCAGTTTGGAACTTGAGACCTTGTGTTTGCTAGGCAGGTGCTTAGACCACTGAGCTACTTCTCCAGCTCACTGTTTTTAAAAATTAATTGCATGTTAATTTTTCTACTTTTTTAGATGTACCAGGACTTGAACTTGGGACCTTGTGCTTGCCAGGCATATGCTTATGACACTAAGCTATATCACTAGCATATAAATCTTAATTTTCTTAACATTTTCATATTTCTTTTAAAATTTTTTATCCAAAATTTAATATTCACCTCTCTGGAATAATTTCCTAAACATTAATTAATTAATTAATTAAAATTTTCATGGAATATTTTTATTTCTGTAGGTTATATTGCATTTTA